GACACAATATTATCTCTTTGGAGACGTTATCTGCAGCAGACTAACACTAGTGACTTACCGCGTAGCGGTCGACCACGTGTGACGCCACGTCAACAAGACCACCGAAATCGGTTGGTGCATCCACCGAATCGATACAAAACTGCCACTTAAACTGTTCCTGGGTTATGACCAATAAGGGGCAGAACCGTATGCAGCCGGTTCAGGGAGCACAACATGCGGCCCCGACGTCCAGCGATACGCCAAATTTTGCTTCACCGCCTGGCACCACAAGCTTGGTGCATACCACATTTGAGGTTCAAAAGACCAGACTGGAACTATATGACGAGTCCAGGTTTCATCTTTACAGCTCTGATGGTCGTGCAAGGGTCTTCAGGCGTCTGGGAAAACGTTTTAAGCGACGCTTGCGTTACTCAGCGTCGTCAGGTTTGGGCGTTGGAAGTGTATTGGTACGGGCTGGCACCACAAGTCATGGGAGGGAACACAACTCATCATTGTTAATGGCAATTTTAATGGCGTACGCTACGGGGAGGACATCGCTCAAGATCATGTTGTACCTTTTGCTCTAATGCAGGGACGTAACGTCACGTTGCAGCAGGATTCCCGCCAATACGTTGCACGTTTTTTCACAGACTTTTGAGGCAGTATGACATTGCTGTACTGCCATGGCCAGCTGTTTCTTCGGGCCTCTCCCCCACAGAACATGTCTGGGATGAGCGAGAACGACACCTACGACATGACCAGACCCAGCACGTAACGCTAGCTCAGTTGGACCAATGCTTGGTTGACATTTGAAATAACATCCCGAAGGCTATTTTCAACCATCTAGTGTATTCAATGCACCCCGCTGACTCGCCTGTATCAACGCATGTTCACATCCGATATTGACATTATTAATTGAGTTGTTACACCATCCCTCGTTTAGGTCGTTTCTCTCTGTCTCCTGGTACCAGGTATGGGTTTTATCAATGAATGTGTTAAATGTGATAAAACATTGATCAGACAAATGACCAACTAATATGTTGTTATGTTCAATAACATAACATTTACACCACTTCATATGAAGTTACCGTTACTTGTTTTGTTAGTATTCATTACATGTGTTGTTGTGTGTGATTTTATATAGGGTCAGTAGGGCTGGAACCGAGATGGTTTTGTCTTCTTGTTCCTCTAAAAATCTGAAATGTGTCCACTATGTCTGGTAACGCTCTTGTCATTTATTGCAGAAGATACCAACATGATAGTTCTTGGAGTTCCGATAGCTTTTGGTGTTATTGCCCTTCTTGGAGTACTTGGATTTCTATACTGGAGACGAAAAAAGAGGTAATCCACAATTAATGAAATCAGTGGAACTTTGAGTAGGCTCTGATTATGGTATCGTGAAGAGTACGTAACCTTGCTATATTTCAAACTGGGATTGTTAGAAAGTCTAACAACTTCAATTTCATATAGGATATATAACTTCTTAGAAAAGGTACCAAGTTTTCGTTACATAATTCTTGCGAGTCGAGCTCATAAAGCTACAATTATCTGGACAAGGTATTGTGTAAATGGCAACATATTGTCAGGAACTGATTTTATTTCTTTATCCACAGGAAACCGAACCAAATCACACAAGACAGGGAAGCAAGTGCACCGATGACGTAATGCATACCTACTCTCGTGCTCAATAAGTATGCCTCTCCAGTGATCTCAAATGATGGAAGTGGAACCTAAAGTGATCTGAACGTGACGAAAGAAGAGCAATTAGATATTCTAATTTGTCTGCGTTATTTAAAGGATACATCCTCTTGATGTTTTCTTAATGGGATTAGCATGTGGAATGTCTTTCATATTTCATGCCCCCATGGTGTAATGTCCACACTGGTGTATAACTGGGGAGTGTAGCACTTGTTAACTACGTCATCCTGCTCAGTACGAATGTAACCGCGAGGTCGTGACATATTAGCATTCACAGTTATGCCAAGTAATGTTTCTGTTTCCCATCGTGCATTGGGCAAAGGGAGCTTACCCATTTAATGAAAGTCCATAATTGTCTCAATGGACGTATTGTTTAGTTTTCAGCCACCCATGGACTCCTTTATCAACCAAATTTTCAATATTTGAGTCACGTGTAATTGCACGTGAAAAAGTCTTTCATCTTCGAGGCTGCAATTTAGCTTGGTGTCCGCAGGTTTATTTCTGGTTCCATGGCATCAAGCCACATTCACCTGATTCTAGAAAGGATCTTCAAGATCATATTTTGTAGGACTGTGACGCACGAACCAGTCATTGAAATATTGAGTAAAGCCTTACGCTGTCCATTTGACATGATGACACGCAAGCACCAACCCTAACCACCCTGTCAATCTAAGTCGCCTCCGACGACAAGCATATGTTGATGGGGACTAATTCTACCTCAATCCCTACGATGGTATTTTCGTTTCAGACTAGATCCGGATGCATGTGCTTTCAGGACTTTATTTTGCATCTATTTGTATCTAAATACATTGGTTTCAACAACAATTTGTTCATCTTCTCAAAATCATATTCCAGAGGTTCTTTCCCTAAATGAGGATAGATTGTGTATGAATGTCACGAAGTACTTGTACCATTCAAATACATAAAAAACGACCAAAATCTCTACTACTGAAATCTCTACTAAAAGCAGAGTCCATTGTACGATTGCAAGTGTATCATGTGCATGTGTTCTGAACATAGAGTTGTAGCTATATATAGATGGTCCTCACGTTTAGTAACAGATACCTCATGGATCAAGGTACGAAGTTTTTCCACTAGTCTCAATTTTAAGAGACATTACATGTAAAGATATGTCACAGTGTCAGAATGAAAGCCATCAACACCAACATCATAGTGCAAATCTAAAAGGACCTCTCATTTCATATTTATATCAATGAAAACTACACATGTGTGTTGGAAAGTCATGACTGACAGAGTGTGTTTATAAGCAGCACAGAATATCATGGGGAGGACCTTCACACATTGCACATACCACCCCTTCGCCTCTTTACTTCCTTGATAACGCACGGGTAAAATCAATAACCCACTCCTTCTCCAGATGTAAATAGGGATCACAGATCTCCGTACAATTAAAGCTAATTATAGCTGTGAGCTTTCCCTGTATTTGCATACACAACTTAGATCTTATATTTAGGTGCCCTTCCTTTTCATGTTATTGAATGTTCTGTACGTGCTTACATTGCAATAAGAATGAAACTAGTCAGTTTTCATGGAATAGTTGTAACATTGTTACTGTATAATGTAATATTGAATACACCTTTTTTGCTATACGATGTTTCTTTGTTCTTTTGTTTGTTATAATAATAAAAGTGCGAATAGAAAATCAAGAACGTGCATCCAAGCATTGCCTAACACACAGATACATACATGTATCTACACTTACTACTCAGACGTTTCTGGACATTTTAAATTCTTCGTTTCAATCTCAGTTGTGAGACATACTTGATATCACTCTGGATTCCTATGACATGGTGATTCAAAATGTGACACCATATATGATTTAACGAATGGAGATAAATATCAACTGTATCATTCATTTTGTTTCAATATATCTATATATAGTTATTGCGCGCTCGGCGACTGTCCGTCCGTTCTAATCTGATACATTTTCTAAGCCCAACCTAAGAACCAGTACACCGACTCTGTCCATGGATGACCCCTGCAACAGCGTGATTTCAAATCGTGAGGCCGGGATAGTTTTTCTTATGATTCCTGTCTGCATATAGCTCATTATGAGAAATTCAAAGTGAACTTAATTCATGAGTTTTCTGTAGTCATCAATACATCCGTCAATTTGCCAGCACTGAACACGAAAGCTCGTTTTCTCCATAACACAGAACACGTTACCCATCTTCCTGGATGAATCGAAATATAATTTGACATTATTGGTAAAACCTTCGCATTTAACACAAATCTTCGCTCAGCGACACTTATTTTTAGGGTATCTGTAAGACCAATGCAATCATCACAAATTCAAAATAACTTGATCACAGTTCCTAAGCTTATATATTTTTCCACACCAAACACATGTTCGTCTATTTTTAGCTTCATTTGGTGAAGCTGGATAATTTTAAGCGTCATGAAACTCAAAATGGATCCCTAACTGGATTCTGGCTTTGAGTACGCTTGTTTGCTATTTAGGTAGCCTTCTCTCACATGTTTTCCCAAAACTAAGTAACAATTAAATGGGTGTCTCTATAGATGGATCGATGTAGAGTCAGTTCATTTAATATTATAACAGCTAACTAACTATAGACAGAAAGCAATTTTGCCTTCTACATCAAGATATACTGTTTACATTGTCAGTGGTAAGTCCAAACAATGTCGTCCAAGAACTTGAATCTAACTTTTGACTGATTGTATCAAAATGGCCAGCGTAATTGGTACATGTGATATTTTTGCAAATGTGTATTGTCAAAGGTAGTTGACCAGTAATACTCCAATGCACTTAGCAGATGGTTTGTGTATTTTTAGGTCTGTCTAATGATGATAGCAAAACATACAGTAAAACGTTATCGCATTTCAAAGCCTTAGTGTAAAAGTCCTAGCAATGTGTATACATTTTTTTATCTTTGTTATATGGGTACTTTGTGTGAAGCCCATATTGCTGGAATATTGTTAAAATCGGCTTAAAACACTCACTTTTATGGTACGGATATATCAGGTAATTAAGGTAAGTTACACGACGCTCACCACTCCGTCCTAGAATATGTATATATTTTAACTCAGAACATGGCCGCCCAAGCAGCCATGTTGAAATTGTAATCGTGTCACACTTCTCAACATTTCAGAGCTTTGAAGCATGCTATTATGTTGTGATGGTACCTTGATATTACTTTAACTCAAAACCTCTTGAAGTTAAGAAACACCAAGTGTGTATAACGTTTGAACTTTGTAGGCATAAATGAATGGACATGTTATCTGAATGTGAAATGATTTTGATCTTGATACACTGCCACTCTGTGTTTATTCGAATTATCTAGATCATGGGCCTACGATCTCCTTAGCGGGCGAGAACATCCCTTACGACACTGTGGCAATCGCTGTAATTATTCCTGTCCTCACCATCGCTATCGTCGCTGTCACGACATCCTAGGTAACATATTTCTTTTGCAGTAAACATCCGTTGAAGCAAGCGTTTTGTAATATACAGTCAAATTTAACAACCTTTAACGTGTTTAGATAGTTGACCTTTCCTTTACAAACGTTTACGATGCAACAGATTAAATAGGACGACTAAGGTTATACAAACAATCAGTGTAAATATTAATACCAAAGAAACATCACAGATATGTAAAATAAGTTCAGTCAGTTTATCCTCCATATTTCACGTTTTCTACTTGCTCGATTTGTTCAGATCTATTTAGATTCGCAGTTGCGCTGTACAGAAACTATATTCAACATACAGCAAGACTTCTTGAAAGTTGAACTAAATAATATCTGTGACGTTGATAAACGTTGGACAGGTGATGACCTACTCTGTTTGGTAAATCATGTTGTTTGATTGACAGGTGGCGATGGGTGTATTGTGTACGCGCTGAAGATGTGCAAACAATAATCTTTACAAATGTTTGGTGGTACAGATAAAATAATTCATCCATACTTTCACATACATAATCAAATTCGGGGTAACAGACGGCAATCAGGAAACTGTTCTCATACACATAAAGCATGTAACTAATGCTAAGAAATACCAGGCGTTCGCGAAAAGGCGAGCATATTCTGCCCCGCTTGTGGCACCCGTCACAAACGCCTGAAAAGTCAGTTGTTCACCTGAAAATATATATACACGAAATGTATTACACTGAACATATATACTGATAAACCTATGCAACAGTCATTTCACCATTTTTTGCAGACGTTGATTGCTACACTATAATAGAAAAGCATGGGCTGTTTTGTTGGAATCGTGTTATGGTAAAAATCTAATTCATTTCACACGTTATTATATTTTGTGAACGTACAATATGTTCCTGTTAAAAGGTAGAACTAGTTCCTGATAAACCGGTTAAGTTTTGTTTGTGTAACAACAACATTTTCAACAGGTCCATGTCATTACTTTTAGCTCACTTTGGCTTACTCAAAAGGGGCTTACGTTTTTGTCCATCAATGTGACCTAAATGTACTTCAAATTAGTATCTTTTGTCACTTTTTAGATTTTTCTGCATAAGGCACGTTCTATTTACTGGCTGTGATTTAATGTTTAGTACAGAGTTTATTTTGTTGTGATGGAGAACAAATAAAGTGGGTCCATTGTTCGATTCCGACTGCATCATAAACAAGTGTTTTCCAATCTCTATCAAACTCTGATGCTACCAGTAGTGAAAAGTCGGGAGTATCCTGCCACACTGGTGGCACCCTACATAAACACATGAAAGGCAAGTCAAGTATTTCATTGGTCTCCTTTATTTCTAGTCCAGGTGGGTCAATCAGTGGAAGGGAATCGGCTATTTTACCGTTATTGAACAATATGAGTTCATCGATATACATGAAGTTTACGTTCTTTGCCAATTTCCCGTGTTTTGAAATTGCCTCTCCGAGAAGATATTCCGATATATATGCATAAAGAAAAGACTGGAAAAGAGAAGACGACAGTTGGTGAACCTCAGTTGATGCCACTCCTTGCCTTAATGTACTGTCCCCAAATTTCACATTTCTATTAGGAAGTCCAGCATTTCACATATTGTTATATCATATACACATATTCTTTAAAAAAGTAGTGGATACTCGGAAATAACTTAAAATGTCCAAAATTGTAAAAGATATTAGTTGACGTTTTTGGATCTTTAGTGCCTTATACCGCCACGATTTGTCAAACATTCATTCACTCGACGAGGAATACTACGTTTGAGGGAGTCTGGTCCACTCCTCTTCCAGCCCCTGGCCAAGTTCAGACAACGTGGTCTGCGGCATATGACGTTGACGCACACGTCACCTTATCATGTCCCAGACGTGTTCAATGGGGGAAAAGTTTGGGCTCATTACAGGCTGTGACATTCTATGGATGTTCTGCTGCTGGAGGTGAACATTGGCGATTCGTGAAAGGGCGTTGTTGTCTAGAAAGACAAAACGTCGAACTACAACCCTTGCAAACGGGACAACAACGAGTGTCAGAATGTTGTCCCGATAGTATTGTCTAGTGACCCTTTCTTGCACAATATGTTGGTTCCTTGGTTTGTTGTTTTACGCCGCACTCTGCAGTATTCCATCTATATGCCGGTGGTCTGTAAATAATCGTGTATGGACAAGACAATCGATCCACGCCATTGGGATCGATGACATGCTTCAACAAAGTCAGCGAGCCTGACCACCCGATCCCGTTAGACGCCTCTTACGACAAGAATAGTCGCCTTTTACGGCAAGCATGGGTTGCTGAAGTTCTATTCTATCCCATATCTTCACGGGTCGCACAATATGTAGTGGGGTTTGGTATGTCATAGTGATGCCAGCTGACACCATAACCGATCCACCGCAAAATCTGGCATGTGATCCCAGGTTAACACTGGCGTGACACGACCACACCTAGCAAGGACGTGCAAAGTGAACTCGTTTTCGACTCTGGTTCGGATCAATCGATCCTGTACTCTTGTCGTTGACCTGGGACACCCTGAACGAGTCGATCGTTAACAATTTTGGTTTGCTGTCAAAAGTGCTAATCACATACTGTGAAGCATTGTCCATATTGGCCACTGTAACCGTACAGTTTTCAGCATGCCAAAAGCCCGAAGGCGCTCAGCGCTTTGCAGAGCAGCATCGCTATTTCATACACCAATGAAATGAAGTAAATCGCAACTGTATGACAAGCAGAATCAATAAGAGGGACAGAAATAATGCTCCACTGAGTAAACAACCTTCCTTGAAAGTGTCAAACACTTTGAAATTTCCCGTCTTACCCCTGTCGTCATTCAAGATCGTTGCTCGGTAATAACATATACAGTAAACTACTGTTATAACGAACTAATTTTAGTTCGTTATAACCGTAGTTCGTTATAAGAACATATACAGCATGACTACAGCAAGTAGTCGGGACCAAAAAGTAAGTTTGTTATATCCGTCAGTTCGTTATAAGCGTGTTCGTTATAACCGTAGTTTACTGTACTGTCAAACGTCACTACCGGTTGTTATGTCTTCCAAATTCGTTCATTATTATCATACAGCTGTAACTGGAAACCAATATATCTTACAAATTGGCAAATATTTACTTATTTACGAGTATCCCTACTCTTATATATTGGTTAGTGTTATCGATGTGATAAACCAGTCCGATAAACTTAATAATCAAGATCCGATAAATATGCAAATGAGGTCATCAAAAACATGACATTAAGAGATTATTACCCTCATGCGTTTTCGTATTGTAAATATCATATATAGGGAAGAAGAAATATGTATTGTTATCGCAAATGGCTCGCACAATACACTTTTTGTTCTTAATATATGATATTTACAATACGGAAACACATTCGGCTATAAGTCTCTTTTTCTCAGTAAATTTCAGATGACAGTTGCTTTTATTTTTGACAAATTCAGTCCTCCCCCAGACTGGCGCACATGTAGCAAAATGCGGTGTGTCCTTGGGCAAGTGACTTTGTTCAAAATATGCCTCTGTTCACCCAGCAGGGAATGGATACCCGGTAGGATGAGATGTCAATGTGACTGGTAACCTTTTTGTTTACTCCCAATGGAGCTGAGAATGCAAATCGAGTGCACATTGATCCATTTACCAGGATAATACTAATGTAGCGCTTCGAGCGTACCTTGCGTGTATGGCTCTCTACAAGTGGACCATTATTATTTGCTGGACCCTGCAATATCTCTCTTTGTAATGATATTTATGGCGCTTTGGAATCCAGAACTAGAGAGGAAAGGAGATGTCATAAGGTTTTAGGGTTAAGCTAAAAGTTGACAGTATTGATGCATGCTTTCGGCAGATATTTGGCAATATTTGATCTGTTACCTATACCAAGGTCTTTGATAAAACAATTAATGTTCCTAGGCTTACATGTAATGATTATGTTATTTGTGGCCTTGTCAGTGGGAACAGCTGCAAACTATTCATGTAGGGCATCACAGCTGACTGGAACAGACTGGATGCATTCCAATTCTATTTACCCCTTTTTCAGTGTATGCATTCTCCAATGGCAACATCACGCACTGACTGAAAGACATTCAACAGGTTAATACTCTTTGATGGTCCATTTTAGGGCATGTGCTTCGACAGCATTAAAAATGATTTTAAATTTGTGATCCGAACTGAAAGCAGGCTGTTCACGATATTGTGGGCCATATTTGAAGAATTGCCGAATGTTGTTCTTGTCAACTATAGAGAAGTAACATGTGATTTATATGAACAACATGTCACGAGTCACTAGACCCAGTACGATCCGGGGTATAATAGGTCTTCAGCAACCCATACTCGCCATAAAAGGCGACTGTGCTTGTCGTAAGAGGCGACTAACGGGATCGGGTGGTCAGGCTCACTGACTTGGTTGATGCATGTCATCGTATCCCAAATGAGTGGATCGATGCTCTTGATATCAATCACTGGATTGTCTGGTTCCAGCTCGATTATTTACAGACCACCGTCATGTAGCTGGAATATTGCTGAGTGCGGCGTTAAATAACAAACAAACAAACAAATCACCAGTCACTTACTACAACAAAAACAAACATTGCATTTGATGAACACATTACGCATTTGTGATGAATAACACCATTATAACCTTTAGGATATTTTATATATGTGGATTATTGTACCAAATTTTGTTTATTTATTTTGTTTACAGATCAAGTGATGCTCCGAATGGCACCTGCAACCATGTTGAAACTTCAGCATGGATCTAGCCATTTGTATTGTACCGTTAATATCTGTAGGAGCTTTCTGCATATTGTTACCACAGAATAACAAGTGGTAGTTTACAGCTTACTCTTCGTTAGCTTGTAGTTTAGTGTTGGCGATATGTTAACGATTTTACGAGCGCTTCTAGTACTTCCTACCTCCGGGCACCCCCGACAACCTGAGAGATGATGAGGATGAATGTAGACAGCGGAGTACCCATAATAAAACCACGTGATGGGTGCTACTAGGACAGTATGTGTTATCTGGGGGAGTGGGTTGTCATTGGTTGAAGGAAACATCGTAAAATCGATGTAATTTGAGTCAGCTGCTTTGTAGGAGAGTATGATTGATATCTTTATTTGTTGTTGAGTTTTGAGGTTATTTCACAGTATTGTAGTAAAGGATAGTTATTAAAGGCAAAGGTAACCGTGAATATGTTCCATTTATCATTTAAGTTTTAGAGGAACCTAACTCTTCTCTTCTATACTTTCATTTTGATTCCAACTTCCACTGAAACAGTGCTAACCTACCCTGATACATATGTCCTGAAAAGTAGCTTTGTGGTTTTGCCAGATTGTTTCAAGACAATTGAGTATGTGAAGTTTTACAGTCATCATGTTATCAAAACATTTTAATGTTTGTGTGTGATCGCATTTATTTTTACCTGGGTGTATATACTCTCTCAAAAAGTAGGGGCTCATGAAACATAAAACTTAGGATCAGTCGTTGGAAGAAAGATCATACAGTTCCTCCGTGCACGTGGGGAGGGGTTCGTTCTTGATTTCGACACTTCAGAAAAAGGTCGTCAGATGTCTCTGGGCCATTAGTATTGTAGATTTCCATTATCCACAGTAACACATAAGCTTTCTACTCTTGCACGAATGCAGTATGTGTGATCAGAGTGGGAACTCGAATTGGACCATGCCACGACGTACAAACGAATGTTTTGACTAATTGTGAGGCATTACACATTTTTGATCAAGTCACCCCAAACTTTCATTTGTTTACCTTCACACTCCTGTAGTCTTGCTTGGTCGCTAACTTTACACCGTCTTGCACCGCCAACATGTTCTGTCAAGTTGTCATATTAAACCTAGTTCCTCCTGTTTCTTTTCCATCCATTACCATAACTCGACATGTTCATGTTATCATTGGTTATTTTCGAATATATATATCCGTCTCGCTATGTGTTTCAAATTATGTTTAGTTATGTTATTCCTGTTACAGTACACGAGTCCTGTCGAATGCTTCATTGCTATCATATCATGCAACGTTGATGGGTCTTTCAATCAACTATTTTATATAAATGTTTAAAGCAATTTTAGAAATAAAATATAGAAAAAACTACAGTTTGTTTATGTTATATGTCCTATTTAATGATGAAATACTATATCTACCTAAACGTATATAATTGTTATTTCACTAGCTATGACATAACACGTTATGCCGGAACTAATGGTTTCCTACAGGAAGGAAATACATAATACATTGAACATTATACTTTTCTTGTCCCGTAACATTGAGTGTACATGTGCTCCTGTGGACAAACATACAGTAACTATACAAATGTTGGTTATGAATAAATCATAACGAGGAAGAATTTGACAAATCACGATTATCACGAGTTCATGTCTTAGAGTAAAACAGAGGTGCATGCCAGTCGCCCAGAATGCATTTGCTACATGTGCGTCTATATAACGTGAATACCAACAACGATTCAACAAACATTCGTTGATTGACGTGGTACGCCCTTGATAAACCAGTGGTCATATGGGTTTCCTATCCTTATCCTTTGAAGCACAAGGCCCAGTGAAGGCTAATGTGTCATATAGTGCTGGTAATTGTTATACAGCAATGTTCTGCAGAGGCAAAGACGCTGTTACAATCCGACTATGGTCTTATCAAATTTGAAGGCGAAACGTGCAGTTGGCAGCAGATAGCCGCAAGTATGTTTTCACGGTAGTACTGTTCTGTGACCCTCCTGTTGATTATGTGGTGATCTGCCATGATGATCTCATCCCTACCCCATAACTCAACCACCGCCATACCTGTCATTTTTGCAGATGTCGGCGTTACGTCTTTGGTACGTCTCCAAACACGGTCCCGCCTGTCACGGAAGTGTAAGGTGAACTTGATTCGTATGGCGACATTTTACATGCATTTCTTCTATTCGTCCAGTGCCTACATTGTCTGCACTTCTGGCTATCAGTCAAACGTGGGATTACATGTGGTCGTGGAACACGCAGATGAGCTGCATGAAGTCGAATGATCTACCGGAAAACACCAGTAATCATTGGCCGTTTATTTTCTATATTCAACAGAGCCTGGGTCGTGCGAATGTCCTGAACATAATTGATCTCTTGGGTTTAGAATCTGTTCCAATATCTGCTTATCACACAGATTGTGACAAACTGAGTGTTGTGACAAAACTAACTGCGCATTTATTAAGTGACCTTACATTCAGTGGTATTATTTCTTATTGCAACCTCCGTCGTTTCGGAACAAAACGTGTATCATTCAGCAATATCCCAGCTATATGGTGGCGGCCTATAAATAATCGAGTTTGGACCATAGAATACAGTGACTGACATTATGAGGAACGGTCAACATCGTTCAGTAAGATGACATACTCTCAGTCAAGTAACCAAGCCTTACAACCAATCTTTTCAGTGACCTCATGCTATTTAATCACAGTTTTGACATTATGTATATAGATCGAGATGTACATGTGTCGATCGTTTCAGTATTACGTACCTACACAGTGATCACCCGTGTAATAACATTTCACATTTATTGCACATTATGTAATATCGACACCTGCGGCCGGGACGATGTTTTGCATCAGCTGGTCTTTCGAATGGGGGCCTCGGTAACACTGTGCAACTGTCTACTCTACTCCGGATTCTCCAGAAAACACCAGTAATGCATACGCACTACGAACGCATATAAAAACTGTATCATCAACATATTTTTCTTTATTATATCCGGAGGTAATTTTTCGTGCTCCGAAAGTGGTGTAGCCTAGAGGTAATTAGAACAAATTCCATATCAGATAAATAAACTAACAAATCCCTTTCCATATTCATAAGAAATCTCTGCTCACATTCCACATGTCCATTTTCCAAAGGTCAGAGAACCTTGCTGATTTTACTGACTTGTCACAGAGAAACAATTTGTTGTGGTCACTCAAGTTTTTTGTTTTCCTATGTGATATCCGGTAATGTCCACAATAAAGGATTTCATTATTACGCAATTCCTTCTATGTGAGGCTCAAACGTATCATTCAACCCTCGTTCTACAAGTAAGTTTACAACAGCTTCTACTGCCACAACAAGTAGTTGATGACTAAACTCCGTGAATGTCTTATGGGAACGTAAGAACTTAAAAGAATGCCGTGGCATGTAGCTAGCTACTTATCCAAGTTTATACTTCATTTGTTGAACTGTCACATCACTAATATGTCATTACTGGGACTGTTATTTTTTGTGATTCCATGGTCGTTGTTCACGTGAACAATTGATTTGCCTTTGCATGTGTTTGCATGGGTGCTACTGGTGGGGCAGGTTACCCTCATCTTTTCGCGAATACCCTGTATCATCACGATTATTAAGTGATTCATAAACACATCCGTGATATAGAGATTTCTTATGATTATGGAAAGGCATTTGTTGCTTTTATTAATAATTATTTATATTATACAAGTATCAGTTCCTCAACAGCCACTTTATTTTAATGAGACCTCAAAATACCTTCAAAGATTCATAAGTAAATCAAGAAGAGGCGCCTCTGCAGTATTTGGTTACACTATAGGATTAAGTTGAGGTGAAATGGTGTTTAAAGTCTAAAGTCATTTTCCTTTTAGGGTTAACAACAAATAGAGTATTACGGTCAACGTTAAATCTAGCTAATGTTGTTTAATATTATTATGCATGTTTACTAGATGTCAATAGAATTGTTCCATGATGTCAGGGGTCATGTTTAAAGCTGTTCGAGGGATTGTTTTGCATATTGTATGTGCTTTGAGAAGTGGTACCGGACAACTCTCTACGATGAGTGAGACCCGTCGTTTGTTTCACTTTTATTTCCCTTGCTTTTTCTGAATAAATATATTTAGCGCGCATGCACCGAATTGTAAAATGATGTGAAGTTGATATATATACGTTGATGATAAAATGAAAATTCGTATTTACAGGAGTTGTACAATTCCTGGTTAGTCTGTATCTTATAGTAATCACAAGGTTCAATGTTACATATATTTCCAGTCTTATATGATACTGTCTTGTATCAGCAGTAGTTACATTACATATTGCCTAAACTCAAGATTACAACGTAAAGATCTAAATTAGATATACATATGTGATAGTTACTATAATGATGATCATTTCAGAAATCTAGAAATATCGATTCAATGTGGGTACTGTAAGATGCACGTAGCCTGTCCTGTACTCGGCAATGGCGCACTAATCAGCTTCAGTTTCCATGAGTCAATGAAACATGGGCAAGTTTGTTAATATCAAGGAAGTATTATTGCAAACGTGTCAGTTTAAGCGATCTAGCGTCACGCACTTGGTGAAGTTGGTAGCCCAGTGGTTAAAGCTTTGCCTCTTCATACCAAAGACCAGGATAAGATACCCAACATAGACGTAATACGTGAACCCCATGTCTGGTGTACACAGGGATCGATATGGTTGAAACATACATACGAAAACTGTGTTTGCATGAGCGGTCGTCGGGAAAACTAATTAACAAGTTAATTCTGCATAAAATTAATTCTGCATAAAGCGTAACCATCATGTTTGGTTGTTTGTGGTTTAAAGCCGCACTTAGCAATATTCTAGATATACGACGGCTGTCTGTAAATAATCGAGTCTGGACCAGACATTCTACTGATTAACACCATGAACATCGATCAACGCAGTTGGGATACGATGACATACATCGACCAAGTCAGCGAGCCTGACCACCCGATCCCGTCAGTCGCCTCTTACGACAAGCATAGTCGCCTTTTACGACAGGCATGGGTTGCTGAAGAACAAATTTAACCCTAATGCCTAATCTTTGTATACGGAAAAGAACGCGTTTCATTTCATTATAAAACACACACACGCACGCGCGCGCGCGCACACACACACACACACACACACACACACACACACACACACACACACACACACACACACACACACACACACACATACATATGGGCTGCATATAGACTTGGTGAGAGTCCTGAGCTGATAACAAGCCTTTACCTGCCTGACTGCCAAACTCTTTCAGCTTCATTTTACTGAGAAGCTGAGACTTCGATGTAGTAATTTTCTATTTTTGTATCTTCAACAGTTGATGCCTTGATCATATAGTGAGGAACTCTGTTTTGTTATCCTTCAACTTAACATTAGAGGTGGGTGTTGATGCGATATTAAATTGCAAGTCACCTTTTGTAAATGATACTGCTGCATTCCCAAAAGGACATGAGGAAAAAAAGAATGAGAGAATATTTCATTAAGGAAATATTTATATAAAGTTGCAATGTTTAAAATTGACATTAATGTTACATATTCCTTTAACAATTTTCCTTGTAAAGAGGAACTTGGAATCGAGACAAAATGAAGGCACACACCCATGAAAACAATAACGTTATTTCATTATTTTGTTTGAATTAACTTACCCTAGATTCTGATTTTCTTGAAATATAGACAAAACTTGACTTATAATAACACAGTAATTTCAGTAAAGGCATTCTGAAATGCTCTTGATTAGAATTTTAACCATTTTCTCCCGACGAAGTAATTCCACTAATTACTATGATCAATGATTATCTTTGTGTAAATATATCCACCCACCCCTCACTTTTTGCCCCTAATATCAATTTAATTAAGAGCCCATTTAATTGTCATTGGTACATGACAGATGCCGGAAGTTTGATTTTCCTTCTGACATATGACATATAAACACAACACTACTTACTGCTAGAGAAGGACAGACTTATTAGACAGAAGTTCTCTCATCAAGCTGGAGTTACTGTAACAGCCAGGATGACTTGTGCTTTCGATTTTGTGGGAGCCGAGGGGAAATGCCATCTTCCATGCTATTGTTTTGATAATAGTTGACTCTGTGTGTGATTGTCCGGACCATATCTCTCAAACTAGTATGTATTTTTGACACTTTGCACACACAAAGACCAGTTTGTGAACTGGTGCCTTATGCTATTTAGGGGTTTTCAGAATTCATATTTTTTTTCTGTTTCCACGGTTACAACTTTGAATCGCTCAAATATAATAAAATACAGCTTCTAAGTAAGAAAGTAAGAAAGTGTCAATGAGCTCATCCAGAGTCAAATTATGGATGATGTTCCATCCATGAGTATTGTCCAGAGATATATTAACGGGAACCCTAGTCATTTCAGCTATAGGAATGAAATTACCATCTTTGTTGCGTGACACATACTAAATGAATGGATTACAAACTCGCTCAAACTTTGCACATTGCACATGTATAGCTCACTGTCCACGGTGATACATCCTGGTGACTGGCATGCCAATTTTGCAAACATTCAATCACTATCTGTTAATTATTTATATGATATATAAAATAAAATATACATCGAAAATCACTTTTGCGTTTCTTTTTTGCAGTGTATGTAACAGCATTGTCCACATGTCTATCAGAATACTCTCACTGTATCAGCCCTCTAGTGTTAACACCTTATTACGCTAACGCATTCCAAATCAAGGTAAACAACAGGTAAATGTAATATTTATTGAAAAACTTATATTTTACAAAATGATTGTTGTTCACATAATGTTGTATAGGAAATATAAGATAGAAGCTTCAAGGTTACAAGCTACCGCCTCGATCAGCGATGACAACACACAGTAACTACATTTTTTTCTTTATCATTAGTCTTCATCACTGCATTGCATAAACTCGGCCATTCGCAAGTTCTGCAATGGACAAGCAAGTGCGTTGACGTGATATATCACACGACACAATCAACCATATTCCATAAATGTTAATATCAAACGCCAGGATCTCGCAGGATCCTTGTATCACACATAGGGGTATCTATGGCTGCACATGGTACTGTGGACCTCTGTAACAGGAAGCTGGAGAGTGGAGAGACGTGTAGATGTGGAACTATTCCCTCAGACGAGGCTGCTCCTGGTACTGTGGTTCTCTGTTAGAGGAAGCTGAAGAGTGGAGAGACGTGTAGATGTGGAACTGTTCCCTCATACGAGGCTGCACCTGGTACTGTGGTTCTCTGTTAGAGGAAGCTGAAGAGTGGAGAGACGTGTAGATGTGGAACTGTTCCCGCACACGAGGCTGCTCCTGGTACTGTGGTTCTCTGTTAGAGGAAGCTGAAGGGTTGAGAGACGTCTGTGGTCCTCTGTAGGGGAAGCTGAAGGATGGAGAGACGTGTAGATGTGGAACTGTTCCCTCACATTAGGCAACACCTGGTACTGTGGTCCTCTGTAGAGGAAGCGGAAGGGTGGAGAGACGTGTAGATGTGGAATTGTTCCCTCATATGAGGCTGCGCTTGGTGCTGTGGCCCTCTGAAGAGGAAGCTGAAGGGTGGAGAGACGTGTAGATGTGGAACTGTTCCCTCATACGAGGCTGCACTTGGTGCTGTGGCCCTCTGTAGAAGAAGCTGAAGGGTGGAGAGACGTGTACATGAAGAACTGTTCCCTCTACCCTCACATAAGGCTGTCCCTGGTACGGTGGTCCTGTGTAGAGGAAGCTGAAGAGTGGAGAGACGTGTAGATGTGGAACTGTTCCCTCAGTAGTCGCTCATAATCATGCAGGGATAAGGCATCCTCGTCATTGATGGAAGCGTACGGTGCATCACTGATGTCACGGGATAGTCTCTCTCCCACCACAGTGAGATATTCACCACATCTATAAATACAACATAACACTTTCATAAACTACAGATGACTTTGACTTCCACAAACGTTGAATGATACATGTGTTAAATTGAGGTTGGCAATGCAAATACGCAATATATTTATATAGTAATATTTGCCCACCTTTCGCAATATAAAATACCAAATACAGGCATTGTTTATTTAGTTATCAGATAACTTGTGTAAATGATGTTTCACACAATAGAAAGCACCTGAACAAGTGGTTCAGTTGGGGCTTGTCCTAATTGCAGTTAATCAATAGTTTAGACCTAACATACAAAACTCTGTCAATTTACCCGAAGCATAATAAAATGCATGTACCTTAAGCTGTGTCCCTCTGGAAGTAAAGAAAGGTTGAACTTGTCAAATTATGTAACGAATAAGACTTCGCGCAATGAGCTTTCTTTTACAAAATACGAACAGGGCTGACGAACCCAAGACTTCGGCGTTTCTAGATATTTTAAAAAGGTGAACTTATGGTTGGTTTCATATTAAGAGAGTTATTTGTTTACTCACCTTTCACGTCCTTGCAGCCAAGAATAGCAACTGCTGCAACAACAACTGTCACAACCGCGAGCATAACAGAGTAGACGGCTACAATAGGGACGATGTCGTCTACGTTCACATCATCTTCTGGCGTAAGACAAAGGTTACTCACATGTACATGTATACTCAACATGATAATTCTCATGAGAATGCCAACCATGCATTACCATATTGCAACCATTGGAGATTAACAACCTAATATTTAATGTTTATGTTAATATACATTTTAATTATGGGATATCAGGAATGTCCATGGAACAAACTTTCTCTTGGGGTAACCTGGAACAATTAGCAAACTACGAACCCTTTTTTTAAGCTGAGGAAACCCTGACTACATCACATAAAAGTGCAAAAAGAGAAGCGAGCAATGAGCAATGGATGAGGGATCGATTGTTCCTCATCACTCCAGCTTGGAAATGGTGTAAGACGAAACGTCGCTAAATGAAATAAACCAGAATTTGTCAACCATAAAGTTGTATGTTTTGTTTTTCACTCACCAACTACTAGAATGCCTATGACCGTTATCCAGGCCCACGGATTGGTTTCTCAAACATGGCGTATTACATAACCCATGTAATGTTTCATGATGGCTCATTTCTATGTTTCAGAAGTGTCATTACAATATATTATGGCTTTTAATAGTAAAAATGTAATACCGTAAGGTTGTGAAATGGGAATGAATTTGATTTGACTCTTAGTCTAAGCTTCCCGGCTTCAGAAGGGAAATAGATTGACTTAGATTGATTGAAGTCGTTAGCATAGTACCACACACATCAGTTCGAGTTGCGCGGTCATTACACAATCATACCAGTAGATAACCTGAAAACACCAACCTTCTATCTCCTGGTAGCTCCCTTCATTTTCCTCATCCCGGATATATGAGACCACGCTGATGGAAATGAATAATAATATTAAACATGATCTCGGACCGGATAATCTGTGATACACTATCAATTTACATTGTGCTCCAAACTGTCTATAGTTTCACTCTCATAGCCATGCAAAGTCATATCACTGTGTAGAGTGTAACTATTTATTCACTTCACTGGAGGATTGATGATAGATACTCACCGATTATTAGTGTATCCTCTCTCTGAAAGTTACAATGTTGTGCAGTTAATTAGGTATATGAACAACAAATGACTCTTTATCATTGCATAGCTTCAAACTAATGGTAAATAGTTTCAACAATGATATGTGACTCCAGCGTTATCCAAATCATTTGAAGGATAAGCAAGCACCATTTATCAACAGTGGTGCATGTAATGCTTCGTGATGACCTCTTTTAAAGTTTATCCAAATTAATTGAAATTTCTTGTCAAATGCTAATTTTGACACCAACCTTCAATTTCCTGGTAGCTCCCGTCTGTTTCAGCGTCCCGGGTATATGCGACCACGCTGAGGGAAAGAAATGTTGAAAGTGACTGGAATCGAAGGAACTAATCAAGGCAATTAGCAAGCAGATAAATTGTGACACAATCAATTTAGATTCGTTCCAAACTGCATAGATACAGTTTTGTTCCTTTAGCCATGCAAGGTGAAATCGCAATGTTTAGGTGAACTATTCACCCACCTCACTTGATAGATAGCAGATACTCACCGGTTATGAATGTTTCCTCTCTCTGAAAGTTAGAGTTATGTGTAGATAATTATGTATACAGATTTCAAGATAAATAACGGATCAACTAATTACTCGTATCATTACATACCTTTGAAATAATAGTTAATAATTTGAACTTTGCATAACATGTCATGTGCCTGTTAATCCAAATTTTAGAAAAAACGCGCCAAAGAAGTTCTCCTTGTTATGAAGCCAGTGTAAACACCTGCAGAAGCCCGGCATTGTAGTTTCAAATAATCTTTTCTATCACAACTAACAAAGAATGGTTAGCCGATGTGAATGACCTAAAATAAATATAACTCTATCTCAACTACTCTTTCATGTTGGCAAATATGTTAGAGAGATGAAATGCTGAGATGACATATTGGGTTTAACGAGAGGATAATAATAATAATAATAATAATTTGCATGTTTAAACACTGTCCTGTTATTCGCTGGAATAATTCAAATCATTTTACATTATAAATGACAAAATTCAAACTATCTCGGCTGCTCTTTCATTAAGTCATTTGGGCAGTAGAAAATGGAATGTATATATCCGATATTGATTCGTATTTCTATTGTCGTACTGTTTATGATTAGTTAATGCATACCATGACGGCTATGTTCATCAATATCATTTTCATTTGAAAGCTTTTACTTTAATACTGAGACAGTATTTCATTTGAAAGCTTTTTCTTTAATACTGAGACAGTATTAAAGTAAAAGCTTTCAAATGAAAATGATATTGATGAACACGCTATACGTGAAACATGGAAGACATTATATAATCGTTGTTACCGTCAGTGTTATTCTATAAAACCAGCATGTCAATGACGGTTTGGTGATAGGTGGAATGTGTGGGGCTTGACATATGATATCAGTGGATTTATTCTTCAACTATATAGTTTACTTCCTTGTTTTTTATTTTGAATAAACGAAAAGAAGGCCATGTTTCCCTGTCCTTGATATTCAGCAACGAACGATTTTCGCATAACGTCACACAACCCTAACTATACACATCACGTATCGTTATTGCATTAAATCTTCATGAATAACTTTGAACCAAGAATATATAGTGTACAGTTTGCAATTAGAAAAGAAAATTGTTTCGTTGACATCAGTCGATCAGGTGAATACACGACTCATTCGTAGTTAATCTAACTGAAGGTCAGTTTCTGATATCTTGACCAAGGACCCAGTGGTCAAAAATGTGAACAACGACCTACGCTGCCTGGTTTATGTGCACACAACCATTTACTTCACATATCAAATTTAGGAGATAAACCTAGTGTGTGTTTAATATAGAGCTTTTGAAAGTAGATTTTATACCTGATTTTTTTATTCGAAACCGAAAGCAATAGTATTTGTACGTCATGTTTTCCGCCTGTAATATTCTGCCACACGTGCTGGGGATAATGTAGAAACCGCGACACGTTATTCAGCAACGATAAGAAAGTAAGATCAATTATTGATATTGCCAAACGGGCGGGTTTCCGAAAGAAGCGCTTCTGAAATTTTCGTTTGTGGTAATGTGGTCATCTGCCACACCCAAATCATGGCCTAGAGTAGATTCGATACGGCGGACCAATCATAATGCAGGATTCTAAAATATTATGGCAGAATCTTTAATGTGACTCTCACGTTATACAAAATCCCTCTCACACCACACAGTATTACCTTGACCTGTCTGTTTTCTACGAACAACAAATATGACGACCACGGCGATGACGACGATCAGCACAGAACAGACAGCAGCCACGGGGACGATGGAAACGGCGGCAGCTTCAGTAACCTCACGTGCTGGAACATTAAATAAATAACAAAAGCATTGTATAGGATTCTAATGTTTCCGATATATAACACATGGAATAGGCAGTCACTTTAATTTGTAAATGTGGTGAACTTCAGTAAAATTGTCGCAAATCTTACGAGTTATCGGAATAGTTTCGTTTGTCGAATTAGGGAGTAAATAAACAATCGATTTCTATCTTTAATACAGATCTTTGTTAATTTGATTCTGAATGAATAGAAACGCTTTGCCATTTGAAAGAATCTCAAGAATCACATTGACGTGATGTCACATCATAAGAATATGGTCAATATCACCTGTTTAAATGATTAATCATCTCTGTGGGTTTAGAGAAAGTTGAAATGAATGAAAATGAAATTGTTCATTACAGGAGTGATCCAAATAAATGTTACAGATTCTGTCTATCACCAGCAATGTTGTAGAAGTAATGTTACAGATTCTGTCTATCACCAGCAATGTTGTAGAAGTCTTACAGGAAACATCCAGGGTCAGGTTCCGTGATGTATTCCCGTGTGTGTTGTTGACGTGACAGGTGTACTGTCCAGACATAGATCTGTCAACAGCTGGTATATACAACACAGCCTCCCTCTGTCCCGTGATCTCCCTCTGTCTGGATGTGTCCCACCAGGTCACAGTGCAGGCGGGGTTACAGTCAGCAGAACATCTCACTGTGAGAGGGTCACCTTCTACTGCAGACACGTTATCTCTGTTACCATTAAACTGTACCGTGTCTGGTCCATCTGAATAACAGAAATAATCTTATCATTTTCCTGACATAACTGATGGCCACACAGCCATAGCTGTCCAGCTGTTGTCGTTATCAAGGTGATGCCAGGTTAGAATGACCGTCCCCAGCAACCTATGCTATTCGTGAGAGGCGACTCTATAGATCGGGTGGCCGTGGTGGTCAGGCCCAGTGACTTGGTAGATAACCATCATTCGAGGACGTGGGTCGTAGTTCACAATTTCAATCACAGGTTTGTCTGGTCAAGACTGGCCGCCGTCATAAAGCTTGGATATCGCTGGTCTTTCAAGTGTAAAAGTCAGTATCGCTAGTGCTGGGGGTCACGATGTCATGTACCATAGGGGCGGTCGGGTAGCCTAGTGGTTAAAGCGTTAGCTCGTTACGCCGAAGACACGGGTTCGATTCCCGATATGGGTACAATGTGTGAAGCCTATTTCTGGTGTCCCCCGCTGTGATATTGCTGGAATATTGCTAAAAGCGGCGTCAAACCTCACTCACTCACTCATGTACCATAAGTAGTCCTCCACAAGAATGAACCCAACTTAAGAGCGTTGTAGTCCCTAACCCTTGCCAGGATGGCCGAAGCAGTGTCGGTTTTTACTTTGATCAGCCATGGGGTAAATAACATACAAGTCAACGAACTTGTCAGCAAAAACGCTGGCCCGCTGTATCCAAAAGCAATGTACGGTGAGAATTTGTCTGGACCATCCTACCGATAGCCTCTGCTAATGTTGCTCGAACCATTTTTGTATTCAAGCTTCAAGTTTCCATGGCAACCTTTCGGGAAATACCTAATTTTTGTTATTGTTGCTCCTACTTTGATTTTGGTTGCACATGAAGGTATTTTACTTGACACCATCTATTATTATATAAAGGTTGAACCAAGTTCAAAATGTATAATATCACAGTACATTGAACACATATGTTAGGCCCCATTACTGACTACACCTAGGCCAAATTGCAATACATTTTGAAAGAAGAGGGACGATTAATAACCTTAAATGTGTTTCTAAATATGGTTGACGTCGTGGCCATGTGTTACATCGGATCGGAGTCCCAGGGCACTGTAGAAATATAAGATCTAAGATCATTGTAGCCTTGTAGATCAGAAGTGATGTTGAATATGCAAATGATACTGATGGACGGACGGACAACTAATCACGCAATATGCCCACTTGACTTTCCGTCAGGTGGGCTAAAATCATCCATGAATTGTATAATGACTGTCATCTAAAGGAGAGAGTAGAATACAATGCCATGTTCGTACTCACAAAGGTCACTGTACCCTTGAAAGTAGAACAAGAAAGGGATTTCACAGTGTACATATTGTTTACCTAAAGGTGTACCTGTACACGGTATCATGTAGTTTAGTATATCCAGACATTTTACACAATGAAAAACAATATTAAACAATAGCATAAACGATATGCATTATATATAAACATGCACCTTCTGCACACGATGCTTTTAATATCAAATCCACATAAACTAACTTCGACTCACACAGGACAGTCAGAGTGTATCCCTGACTCCAGTCTGACAGGACGCCCTCTTCTTCAGACTGACACGTGTAGACACCCTTGTCTCCCTTGGTGACGTTGTCTATAGTCAGGACTGGTCCCTCCACGTGTACCCCGCTCTCCACTCTGCTGTTGTTTCTCCTCCAGGTGTAGGACGTGTTCAGGGTATACCGGTACAGAGACCGGTCTAGAGGAAGACTCCGGTAGGTGGAGGAGCAGGTCAGCATCACATGACCACCTGATACAGGGTCGGCAGATGTCGTGCTGATGTTCGGTTGTGATGGTTTCTCTGAGAACAGTGTAAAAGAGAACTATCTAATAATGGTCGACTCACTGTATGACATAAAAGAGAACCTTAAGGTAAAGAATGTGTACACACACTTCGTCGGGACTCAAACCCACTTTTCACAATGTTAGCTGGACTGGAATTATTTATTCGAATCAGTCAATGTGTCTGTAACAATCCCCCCTGGAAGATCCGGGTTTGATTTGGTCTTGCATGAGGTGACTTGGTTGATGTATGTCATCGTACCCGTCTTACGTAGATCGATGCTCATGATGTCAGTCACTGGATTGTCTGGTCCAGACACGATTATTTACAGACCGCCGTCTTATAACAGGAATTTTGCTGAGTGCGGCGTTAAACAACAAACATCTTAAGATCATATGTGATTTTCTATCCATTTCTGCGAGAGTCAATAACTGTTTAGGGAATAAATATTGAATTCACAAATTAATGTCCAAGTACTTTTTACCGTCTCTGTGGACTATTGGATAGAGCGTCTGTCCGTAGAACGGAAGGTCGGTGGTTCGATCCCCGGACGCTTCAGACCAAAAGACGTTAAAAGGTGTTACCCTGCCTGGCGCTCGGCATTAATAGAACAAAGACTGGTCGGCTCGGAGCCAGTATACTGTATGTAAGTGGAGTACCCATGTTAAATATGTGGAATGGTTTCTCAGTGGGCTATAAAACTGGCATTAGCCCTGACTAGCACACACACACACACGTGCGACTTTAATCTCTATTTTACCTCACCTTACCAAGCGCTGTTTATTAGCCTCAGTCATGTTTATTATTTTCCTCAACAAATGCCCATATCCAAATCACTCTCTATGATAGATGTGGTTGTTGACAACAGATAGCAGACACAGTCACAGTTAGCCCTTCCTCACCTATCACTTGTATTATGTCTCCATTCTTTTACCTTGATCATCGATGATGTAGTTTGCACCACACACTTGTTCGAAGTATAAATGTCATTTCTGGTGCACTACTGGCTATCCTACTATGTCCCCACAGATAAATCCTAAACTCATAGGGCGGTCGGGTAGCCTAGTCGATAAAGCGTTCGCTCGTCACGCCGAAGAACCGGGTTCGATTCCCGACATGGATACAATGTGTGAAGCCCATTTCTGGTGTCCCCCGCCACGATATTGCTAAAAGCGGCGTAAAACCATACTCACTCACTAAACTCATAATGGAAAACTCATCTTTAGTTGTGGATGAATTTACCCTTGCATCATTTGCAAGTCAGGTACAATATTCCTTTCATTGTGTCTCAAAAACGAGCGTCCAATATGGAATTGTCTATTTGAGAGATAAACTGATCATACTCAGATCATCTGGTTACTTACGCAGTACAATGAGAAGCTGACTCCACATGTTAGCAGACCTGTCACTGTTGTAGGTAACACACTGGTACACTCCGGCGTCCTGTACTTCAACACTGTGGAATGTGAGACTGACCAGCGTCCTTCCTTGCAGAGATGTATTGACAGTCAGCTGAATCCTTGTCCCGTTCTTTGTATGTGTGTTGATATATGGAAACACATGTGTATAGTCATCCACGTTGAACAGGAGTTTGGATTCATTAGGCCTGAGCTTCCCATTAGGTCTGACAGATTCAATCGCAAACCACGGGGCAGCTGGAAGTACATTCCAGGACATATGGACTCTTTCCCCGACACGGGCAACAGTGTTTTTCTGAGAGGCTGAAACAACACATTAGAAACATCACTATACAGTTGGTGAAGTGAAATGTAACTTCAGAACTGTAGAACACTTACTATGACACCTGCAGATATACCTGATGTCCCCAGCAAATTGAATATAACTAACTATAAAGTTTGGGTTATTATCTGCTATAGTACTCAAAAGATGTTGAGGACCACCAGATTCTTTCACGGCATGACAGATTAAATATAGTAATCTGAAATAATCGTGTGGTCTAACTACTTGCAGTTTTTCACAAACATAATGACTTTCACAACATCTGACAACAGTTGTATGCATGAGAGGCTGAAACAACACACCGGTAGTCATAAATGTATTATTTAGTTGATGAAGTACATTTTGATTTCATCAGTTTATAACACATGCCATATGCAATAAAGCATGCAATCTACCTAATGCGCTGAAGTCATATAAATGAAAAACTTGGCGTCGGGTAGCCAAGCCAAGCCAAGCCAATATTCGCTCATCACGCCGATGATACTTCTATTACAATTTCACCTGTTTTTTTATGTATCCCATCGTTATATAACTGAAATATCACTTAAAAGTGGCATAATAACCCAATCACCAACCCCTCCTCCGTGTGTTGGCTGCTGTTATTTGTATAATTTATTGTTAATGCATGTGCTGTTACTCATAAAACATCTATCGCAGTAGCAACCTTGTGAATCCGAAGCCGCATGGACAAACGTGTTTACAACACGGGGCCTATGTAAAGATATGAATATTCGTATTACAGTATATCTGGGCTTTAGATCTTCTCTTTGTCGATGCTGTTAGTGGAAGCCTAAAATTTTCTTTGAATTCGACACCACGATTCTATATCCCTTTTCATATGTGTGCCTGTCAAAAGAAGCGATTAAAACGGATCGGTGGTCAGGCTCAGTGACTCAGTTAGTTGCGTGTTATCATGCCCCGTTGCTCATGGTATCAATCACTGGTTTTCAGTCCATTTCGCTGAAATACTACTGATTATTGCGTAAAACAAATACCGGTAACAAAAAATGACCTTTCTCTACTTACCAATACACGAGAAAACAGGATTGAACTTTAACTTCAAATGATATTTTGTTTGACGAAGATATCAATTTTTTATCAAGGGCTGAAGTTCATAACCCACATGCATAATCAGAAACACTTACCCGCAAAATTCAATAAGCCTCCATATAGAATTACAGCTTCTAGACAATAAATATATAAAAACATTTTAGTAACGGTTTACATTCATCAGGTGTGTTGGCTGTCATAGAAACTGCAAGACTACATGTCGTTTTCCAAACTATTTGTGAGTCAGGAGTGTCATGAAATATTTCCGTGTTAAAATGCGTCAGCGTTTATTAAATAAGTTTTACTTTATGGAGGAAACGAGTATCGAAATTGACACGTTTGAACAGTGTATAGATTAATCTGCCGAATAACATTTATGTTATAAACATTCAAAGGCATGCTCACCATTAACATATATCACTGGAATCGATTCCGTTCTGTATTGGAAAGTATAATTTAAAACGGATAATGCACCATATACACGAATACTGGTTATTGAAAATGTAACATACTTGTTGTCTTGAAATAGTTAAAATCTTTATACATTAGGAGCACAGCTGTCTTAGCCTGAGCAGCAAGCGTTTTGCAGGTCCTTGACCAATTTAACCTCGAAGAAAACATTAAACCTAAATATTTATAATAGGAAACAACTCTCATGTTTACATTACGAAACGACATTTTTTCCTTTTGCGCAGCTACACCACATTTCTAAATACAACTATATTTGACAAGTCTAGGTTTAGCGCTAGCCCCCAAGAGCCACACAACGTTTGAAGAGCGTCCAGTTTCTTTTGCAGACCATTTAATGATTAAGAAAAGATAACTTTATCATCAGCAAATAATAGCAGAAGTAGATCCTTAATTTCTTGAGTTACAAATATCCCATTGCTGTATTTCTCATAAATAGCATCAACAAGTTCATTAATAAGAAAGGGGGCGGTCGGGTAGCCTGACGGTTAAAGCGTTCGCTTGTCACGACGAAGACCCGGGTTCGATTCCCGACATGGGTACAATGTGTGAAGCCTATTTCTGGTATGCCCCGTCGTGATATTGCTGGAATATTGCTAAAAGCGGCGTAAAACCATACTCACTCACCCATTAATAAAAAACAAGAAAAGTTGTTGACACAAGGCGCAGCCCTGTCGCACACCTGCATCTCTGTCCATACTGTCGGAAATATACCGAAATCTAATACCTTATTAAACAAGTCTCTCAAATAAGCAACTAAGAAAGCACCCCAGGATTTAAATAATTCCGGGAGGAATACCGTCTTTACTGGCTACCTTGTTCAATTTAAATAATTGATACACTTTAGTACTATTTGTTAATGATCGATAAACACTTGCTGATGATATAGTCGGAATCGTACAATGAAAGTAATGTTTTTTGTGTGTCTTTTATTCACTTATGATGCATATGTTGAACGAAACCCATGAGAACAGGTACGGTGGTGACAAACCTAGATACATAATCAGGGCAAATCAGGGATTCGAAATGACGATCATAGGTGTCTGGCGTGTCTAAGAGACACAACTCTGCAAATCGAATGCGCCACCATTGATTACTGGGCCACCCCTAACAGAAGGTACTTTATCATTATGGCGATAACGTACTTTCATCGTATGTTTGTATCATCTGTATATTCGTATCTATTCCAAATAGATCGCTGCATATCACACTGCTCCGACACCGAGGCTTTCACGTTAATTAGCAAACATTGATCATATAACCAAGAGAGCTGCACCAGCAATGTTAGCATTCCTTTTCTGTTTCAACACCATGATTTAGCAGAAGGGATATGTCCTGGTGACGTTGCGTAACACGTGACCATTCTACACAGAAGACGCTATGCGGGAATATGCACATGGGGAACGGTAGGTTTGTTATTGCTCAATACTTACGTTTTAGTTCCTTTTATAATATGATTACAGTGATATCAGTGCAGTATAGTAATATGAACAAATGATCGTTATTGTACACGTCCCGCGATGGCGCCAGTTGTCATAGTGCCGCCACATGTGAACAGGAGGGTTGAACCTAGTAAAGCGTTTATCAAAGCATATGGCGCACAAAGTATCGACTTCATTTGTGAGGCGGATAACGTCGCGTTCAAGATAATTGCACTTTCATAGCGACATGCATATGTGTGTGTGTGTGTGTGTGTGTGTGTGTGTGTGTGTGTGTGTGTGTGTGTGTGTGTGTGTGTGTGTGGCACGTCGACCTGTTAGTAGAAACTGATTCATAATCCAGGAATAAAGGTCTATGTTTATAAAAGTAGGGTTAATCGTGTGTGAAAAATGGATGTTTAACCCTGTACTGATTTTATACTGATTATGTCAGTACTAACTTGAGGATCACGTGATAAACATGCCACCTAATCAATCCTGTCTCCTTTTCAGTGGAGTGTCTGGTACTTTGCCTCCTACTATGGCTTGCCACTTCCTATTCAGGTATGTCAATCATTGAATCGATTTGAAATAAGCTATTTTTATGAAATAGTCTATCTCTTTTGCCCTGCAAAGTGTTTTTGGTGGTGCCTCACTGTGCCGTATTTATTGGTTGAGAAATAATACATCTATTGGTAGATTCGTAATATCTGTCATTGCCCGCCGCGTCAGTGCGGGCAGGCATGATCAATGTCACAGCGATATAGCGTAATCACTTACCTGTGCGGTTACCTGGTCGATCGAGGCAGGTATGAAAACTCTGGAAGTTAGATGGGAGAACGTAGTGCGTCTCTCCGATGTGGATGTTTATAAATTGTGTGACAGGTTGGGGGAAGGAATGGTTCAAGAACTGTTTCTTTTCTATGCATAAATCAAAAGCATATATAATGCATGCTTTCAAAATAGTGCGCATGGAAATAGATGATCTAATGTTGTTGCAATCCTAACCAACATTGTTGTGGGATATTGTAGTGTTTTCATATAATATTGAGGTTGTTTTTCCCCTTTTATTCATATATTTAGTTTATTGATTAATTACTGAAGACTTATTTGTTCATGTGTTCAGGGAACATTGATAATAAGGTATTGTATGCGAGGGAGACTTTAAATGTTTCACTTTTCAGTTTGACTAACTAAAATATCAAACTAAAATGTTATTTACTAGGTGCTTGTCTGTTCGATTTGTGATAAAATCAAAAGAACCACAATAAAAACCTGAACAAATCTAAAGTTTGAAATAATAATTATTGATTGGCATTACTTGGAAGTTGACGGATGACAAAGTAGACACAATTTATGGATAACAACTTCTTTATTTGACAACAATATAAGGATCTAATCGGAGAAGTTGTTTTATCATCCAAAACTGGCTCCCACAGGAGATATCGCTTGGGTGAGATGAAGCTTTACCTACATTGTAGATATCGCTGCTATGAAATGGCATCACAATGCTATGCTTTGTAGTTACCATGACGTCACAATCAAATGACATCACTAATGGCTCTGCTACTGAAGCTGTTATCAGTACTTTTCACACTTAAGACACTGCTTATTACTTCTACAAGCGGAAAAAGTTGGAAGAATGATGTTGGATGATAAACAAAATCTCACCCTCGTGTCTGTTGATATCAAATATATCAACACTCGTTGATAAAAGCCACATAGTTTTTCCACTTTTATCAATGAGTGATATCAAAAGACACTCGTGTGAGATTCTCAATGTCCATAAGTTGTGTCTACTTTGAAATAATAACTGATGAAATCCAAAATATGACCTGCAAGCAGCTGCTGATGAACGTCAACTGCCTGGCCAGGATAGCTTCAACAGTTAAAATATTATGTTCCACAAATTTGTTTTCGTTGACAGTCCCTGAGATAATATGATAGATTTAAACACCACTTAACCATTCAATAAAAACAATTTCCTGCGTCTGATCTGTTACACAATGTCTCTTTTCGAGGATACAAAAAAGGGCTATTTTCAAAATTCTACCTGTGCTTGCCACCTGTTTGGCGGGCTACATTTGGGTGGCTACGTTTGTTCATTCACTACTGTAGGGTTAAGGTATCTTTTAAATATGGCAAAGCATTTTGATTGAATACAAACTTTCCTTTCATCAGTTTTCACCTGTCTGTGTTTTTTTCAGAAGCAGCATATTTTTGAGTATTGTTGCGGAAAGGCGGCTGCTTCGATTAGCTATCAACCATGGTGATTTGCTGCAGTGCTTCTAACAGATACATGTATTGTGCATTCGGGAATATCAAGTTCTCTGTGGATGTATATTTCACTGCACGGCCTTAACTTTAATAAAAGGACAACGAGAAGCTTAACATGAATTTTAAAAGCACAAGATATATGCCTATTTGTTGGTGTAAAAATTATTAAAAACTTATTTTGACAATTTCACTGTCATGTGAATTCATCAGTGTGTTGCTAATAGATCATGTTTGTTATGGCTCCTAACTGGCAAGGTAGCATATTCCTGTCAGCTTCTCCGCCTGCTGTAGGGTTACAAGGTGAGGTGAAATGGGGTTTAACGTCGCGCCCAAGATTATTGCACTTATGTAGCGACGTGCATACACATGTGTGTGTTTCTGTGGCTGCTTGTACTAGTCCGGACTGATGCCGACAGTGCTAGCTCACTGAGATACCATGCCGCCGTTTAACATGAATACCCCACTCAGACACAGTATACTGACTCCGAGCCCACCAGTCCTTGTTTTAGCCCCTTAATGCCGAGACGCCAGACAGGATAACAAGAAGTACCATCTTTTAACGTGTTTTGGTAGGACGCGGCCGGGGATTGAACCCCGAACCTTCCGCTCTCCGGGCGGACGCTCAACCACTAGACCACGGAGGCGGTCTGAAGGGTTACAAAGGAGGGTGTACACCAAGTAGTATATGCAGTCCCGGGTCTGTGCCAGTGAGCAATGCTGGAGAGAAATCCAACTTTAGTTGATTTTTCATTATGTTCAAATGTTTGCATGGCAACATGTATTCATTTATGTGTGGTTGAATATATTTTAGTTACAGTCCCGACATGGTACAATGTGTGAAGCCCATTTCTGGTGTCCCTCGCCGTGTATTGCTGGAATATTGCTTAAAGCGGCGTAAAAACTCACTCACTCACTCACTCACATGGGTACAATGTGTGAAGCCCATTTCTGGTGTCCCTAGCCATGATGTCGCTGGAATATTGCTAGCAGCGACGTAAAACATCACTCACTCACTCACTCACTCACTCACTTTCTGCCTAAAGTCAGTTTACAATGAAGTATGTTGGGTTTTGGAGTAGGTTTTCATGGGTGTGCCTGCGACTCTCTTTTCAAACAAACCAAACGTTTATTCATTTGGCATATTGGTGACATACTTTCAATAAAAGTATACTCACTGCCAAAAGAGTGAGTGAGTGAGTGAGTTGGGTTTAACGCCGCTTTTAACAGTATTCCAGTGTCAGCTAAATGTGGGAGGAAAGCCCGAAGTGATTCGGTGAAACTCACGAGCACGGGTATGGTTCTGAGGAACCTGGAAACATAATCGGGCCGAACCGGGATTTTAACCAACAGTCATCGGTTTCTGGCGTGCCTAAGGGACGCAACTCTGCACAGCAAATTGCGGTGCCTTAGATGACTGGGCCACCCGTGCCTCTACCGCCAAAAGAAATACTAACCGTAGAAACATAAACATAAAGTATGTTTAGATGAGATGTTTCCAATGTGAACCACTTCATGACAAAACTAACAATCAGTCAACTGTTACCACAGAATGACTTTATTCTTATCACGATATGCTGCATGTGATTTCCAAACTTACACGCTAATCCTGCACGAGACAAAAAGTGCATCTTGAGTCATGGATCTATGACGTCACATGTGATGCATACATGAGCATCGGTTCATACGACATATCAGTATTTTTGTTTGTGGATTGAGTGAGTGAGTATGGTTTTACGCTGCTTTTAGCAATATTCCTGGAATATCACGGCGGGGGAGACCAGAAATGGGCTTCACACATTGTACCCATGTCGGGAATCGAACCCGGGTCTTCGGCGTGACGAGTGAACGCTTAAACCACTGGGCTACCCGACTGCCCCGTTTGTGCACTGAACCAATCTTCAACAAACATGTATGATATTTGCGTTTCTTTTGGCGGTGAGTATTTATGATTTACTGAACTTGAATAGCCAATCCTGCACAAGACAAAAGGTACATCTCGCATCATAGATCTATGATGTCGCATGTGATGTATTTCTGAGCATCGGTTCACACAACATGTGGAGTGTGTCAGTGTACAACTGTGGAGTAGTAGCCTGAACTATATTTTCCAGGTTTGTTCTCAGTGAAACCTGTTACTTCCCTTCACATCATGGTGAGACCTTGACTACTCAGTGAAACCTGTTACTTCCCTTCACATCATCGCAAGACCTTGACTACTCAGTGAAACCTGTTACTTCCCTTCACATCATGGTGAGACCTTGACTACTCAGTGAAACCTGTTACTTCCCTTCACATCATGGTGAGACCTTGATTATTCAGTGAAACCTGTTACTTCCCTACACATCATGGTGAGACCTTGACTACTCAGTGAAACCTGTTACTTCCCTTCACATCATGGTGAGACCTTGACTACTCAGTGAAACCTGTTACTTCCCTTCACATCATGGTGAGACCTTGACAACTCAGTGAAACCTGTTACTTCCCTTCACATCATGGTGAGACCTTGACAACTCAGTGAAACCTGTTATTTCCCTTCACATCATGGTGAGACCTTGACTACTCAGTGAAACCTGTTACTTCCCTACACATCATAGTGAGACCTTGACTACTCAGTGAAACCTGTTACTTCCCTTCACATCATGGTGAGACCTTGACTACTCAGTGAAACCTGTTACTTCCCTTCACATCATGGTGAGACCTTGACTACTCAGTGAAACCTGTTACTTCCCTTCACATCATGGTGAGACCTTGACTACTCAGTGAAACCTGTTACTTCCCTACACATCATGGTGAGACTTAAACTACTCAGTGAAACCTGTTACTTCTCTTCACATCATGGCGAGATCTTGACAACTCAGTGAAGCCTGTTACTTCCCTTCACATCATGGTGAGACTTCAACTACTCACTGAAACCTGTTACTTCCCTTCACATCATGGTGAGACCTTGACTACTCAGTGAAACCTGTTACTTCCCTTCACATCATGGTGAGACCTTGACTACTCAGTGAAACCTGTTACTTCCCTACACATCATGGTGAGACCTTGTCAACTCAGTGAAACCTGTTACTTCCCTTCACATCATGGTGAGACCTTGACTACTCAGTGAAACCTGTTACTTCCCTTCACATCATGGTGAAACCTTGACTACTCAGTGAAACCTGTTACTTCCCTACACATCATGGTGAGACCTTGTCAACTCAGTGAAACCTGTTACTTCCCTTCACATCATGGTGAGACCTTGACTACTCAGTGAAACATGTTACTTCCCTACACATCATGGTGAGACCTTGTCAACTCAGTGAAACCTGTTACTTCCCTACACATCATGGTGAGACCTTGACTACTCAGTGAAACCTGTTACTTCCCTTCACATCATGGTGAAACCTTGACTACTCAGTGAAACCTGTTACTTCCCTACACATCATGGTGAGACCTTGTCAACTCAGTGAAACCTGTTACTTCCCTTCACATCATGGTGAGACCTTGACTACTCAGTGAAACCTGTTACTTCCCTACACATCATGGTGAGACCTTGACTACTCAGTGAAACCTGTTACTTCCCTTCACATGATGGTGAGACCTTGACTACTCAGTGAAACCTGTTACTTCCCTTCACATCATGGTGAGACCTTGACTACTCAGTGAAACCTGTTACTTCCCTTCACATGATGGTGAGACCTTGACTACTCAGTGAAACCTGTTACTTCCCTTCACATCATGGTGAGACCTTGACAACTCAGTGAAACCTGTTACTTCCCTACACATCATGGTGAGACCTTGACTACTCAGTGAAACCTGTTACTTCCCTTCACATCATGGTGAGACCTTGACTACTCAGTGAAACCTGTTACTTCCCTTCACATCATGGTGAGACCTTGACTACTCAGTGAAACCTGTTACTTCCCTTCACATCATGGTGAGACCTTGACTACTCAGTGAAACCTGTTACTTCCCTTCACATCATGGTGAGACCTTGACTACTCAGTGAAACCTGTTACTTCCCTACACATCATGGTGAGACCTTGACTACTCAGTGAAACCTGTTAGTTCCCTTCACATCATGGTGAGATCTTAATTTGAGTGCACTGTGACACAAGGTGAGACATTGAATGCATGCCTTTGTCGAGGAGACGGTCGTCATCACCTATATTAGAATAACATTCAGCAATTACTTCAATTTAGACTCATTAAGGATTAGCCCCTGTTTACTGTTGTTAATACTAAACATTGTACCAAATAATAAAGGTATTAGCAATTCATCAACTTGGAATAAAATGGATGGACTTTTCTTAAGCATTAGGGGGTGCATGGGTGGCCCAGTCGTCTGTAACACCTACTCATAAGTCTCCATTAGCACCAGCAACTACCCCAGGTACTTTTCTATTACATGACCACAGTATTGGCCCAACGCCAGTTCATTTATTCTAAAATCTCTTCCCAAGGGCAGTTACGATGCATGTACAATTGTATGCTGCAAGGTTTTCACACCCAAAGCAGTAAATATTCATATATACAATCAGTTTGGAAGCTGCGATTATTTCCAAGCTCACAATGGATTTTCCATCCAGGGTAGCCTTGAAAGCCGCTGGGTCATCCATGTCATGGGAAAGTATGGCCCCAGCATGCGTATGAAGTGATCAGACTCCTTTGAGATATCAGTGAAACACCCATTAAGTACATCGATTTTCCGTGCTGGTTCTATTAGAGTTGCATTATGTCATTCTGTCTGATTGGATTATTCCTAGCTTCATGTGCTGCTGTACGATGTACAGAGAAAACTCATGACTGGCACTTATCTTAGATGTTTTCTCTAAAGGACCCAACAGCATATTATATACCACCCCTATTCCATCTCTCATCCCCTTCTCGCCTCTATCAGCCTATACCCTTCCCCATCTCTGCTCTATCAGCCATACTCATCCCCTTCTCGGTTCTATCAGCCATACTCATCCCCTTCTCGGTTCTATCAGCCTAAACTCGCCCCCGTCTCAATTCTAGCAGCCTACACCCATCCCCTTCTCAGCTCTAGCAGCCTATACTCTCCCCCTTCTCGGCTCAATCAGCCTATACTCATCCCCTTCTCGGCTCTATCAGCCTATACTCATCCCCTTCTTGGCTCTATGAGCCTATACTCATCCCCTTCTCGGC